AAATTCCCCTCCATGTAGTGTGTAACACAGCTCTAAGTGAAGTGAAGTATCCAGCTAAGGCTTAAATCTGCAAAAATACAGTGTTTAAAACGGTTGATTCATCTATAAAAGAGTCGACTCATAGTGCTTCAAACGAGTCGCCTTGATACCGAGTCATTAGGTGTTTCGCCATGACGTACGAACGAAACCAAGTTATTCACGTGCACGCGCAGACCCGGGAGATTTCAAACCTGAGGCCCCGCCCTCTGACGCAGAAACCCAGACACACACAAACACACGCACACAAACATGCGACCGTCGTATTCTGTAGCTGTTCTCCCTGTTAAAGCTGTTCTCACTGTTAACTTAAACTCGCTCCCACAGGCGGACTGGACACGCAAAAAGCGTACATACTCTCACGTGAACGCGCTCGGCGCCCGTACACATTATATGAGCGCGTCAATATATTTCATCGTTCTCTGTTTACTATTATTTTTCTTGCCTTTGATATATAGATGCTAAGTTTACATATATTTAACAGCCCATCAAAGAAAGCATTTTACTATAATATGACCAGTACAGCGATAGATTATATCTATCTATCTATCTATCTATCTATCTATCTATCTATCTATCTATCTATCTATCTGTCTGTCTGTCTGTCTGTCTGTCTGTCTGTCTGTCTGTCTGTCTGTCTGTCTGTCTGTGTAATTAGTCTAGTTTGTTTTAGCCTTTTTTCCCCTGTAAGCAGTTATGTAGATTACTGTTGATCCCTTTTAAATGTTTCCCTAAATATGTTTATAGAATTTTCTTAATTGGCTTTTAAATTAAAAAGAAAATTATTAAAGTAAATGTGGAATGTGTGTGTAAAATACTGGTTAATAGAATGTACGCACACAAATTAAAATAAGTAAAGTGCATACTTTAATTTAAAATGAAATGTTTTTTATGTGTATATTTTCAAAAAGGTTTAATCTAAGATAACATTTAACTTAACAATTACTTGAAAACTATTAACATAAAGACAGGGTATGGGATTAACATTCTGCCCAGTTGTAGGGGCTTCATGGGGTCAGGCTCAAACACATGTGATACCTCCGGTCACACGTGTCACTGAATCTGTAACGAAGGAATAAGTGTTTTGAGATTGCCATCTTATTTTAAAAGAAGGTTACCCAGGAACAAGGTAATGGTTTTCTGTACGTTTCCCCTTTCTTTTTCCACTTCTATATTATTTTCCCCACAATAGTGGCACAGCTCACTAAGGTCATCTATTGAACCAAAATATACATTTATATACAACTATATGAAGGGTTAATTGGGTCTTAGTCATGTGGGAAAAAAGTTACCATGGACATAATAGCTTGACAATTTGGCAATTACTTATCTCTAAAATGTAATATTGAATTAAAATCTTCTAAATTTGCACAATTCTATAATAAAAAATATCAAAAGGCAAAATATCTCCAAATTATACCTTTTTTCACACAACTTGATTATTTTTATGCAGTGAAAAACAAAGTACCAGATTCATTCAGCAGTCTCATGGCAATTTTTTCCCTGTCATTGTCCACTGCAGAGATATTATTTGCAAACTGCAGAGACTCTCCACAGTAAATCAAAGTCTTGTCACAACTGTGTAACTGTTTTTTATGTGTGTTATACATTTTTTGTTGTGTGATTTAAAAAAAAAATCCAAACTTAAAAAAGATAGTAAGACAGGGAAGAGTCTTGCATTTTTGTTTATTTTTATTTTGGCTATGTCAGGTAACACTTATATATGTATTTTTAAGGTAGTTATAATGGTTTTCCTAACTGTTTTGGCATGCACGGAGGACTGTGATTTGGCATTTTGGAAAAAAATAATCTGCATAAACTTTAAATAAACTTAGGTGTAGAGTTATCTTTAATGCTAGAAATAAAAGCAAAAAAAAATAGTTTTTTGCTGACCAAATAAAAACTTCAAAACGAAACCATGGTGTAGATCTATATACTGATGCATGAATTAACACATAGTCCTTTAATATGGATACGATAATAATACTAAAAAGAGCATTAAAAAGCCTTGTATATCATTTTGAAAGATGCAAGTACGCAGTGAAAAGAGAAAGAGAGAGCAAAACTGTCCAGAAACGTTATTACAAACCATTTGATTGAACCATTTGATATATATATATATATATATATATATATATATATATTTATATATATAAATTATTTATTTTTTTATTTTTTTCATTATCGGTTTAATGTTCAAATTAGTGTTTTTTTCAGTAGATTATTTGTGTATGTATTATCAAAATTGTAGTTTTTTTTTATTATCATGTAAGCTGTTTGCATTTAGAGAACATTATTTTTTTCTGTGTGAAATACGAGTGATTAGATACTAGCGTTGAACAATTCATTCAGCACACGCAACCTGGGTGCATTAACGAGGCAAACTAGACAAACTACACAGACAGACAGACAGACAGACAGACAGACAGACAGACAGACAGACAGACAGACAGACAGACAGATAGATAGATAGATAGATAGATAGATAGATAGATAGATAGATAGATAGATATAATCTATCGCTGTACTGGTCATATTTTAGTAAAATGCTTTCTTTAACGGGCTGTTAAATATATGTAAACTTAGCATCTATATATCAAAGGCAAGAAAAATAATAGTAAACAGAGAACGATGAAATATATTGACGCGCTCATATAATGTGTACGCGCGTTCACGTGAGAGTATGTACGCTTTTTGCGTGTCCAGTCCGCCTGTGGGAGCGAGTTTAAGTTAAACAGTGAGAACAGCGCCTACTAGAGTCACAGAATACGACGGTCGCAGAATTTGGTGTAACACCGGTCGATTGAAGTCACACTGCAGATGGATATTATATTGAGTCTCTACCCAAAGATGAAACATCAGCATTATAACCAAGCAGTTGGAAACTACTGAAAACTTCTGGAAGCTACATGCTACAAAGAATACTTCATCTGAGTTTGTTGAAGGAAGGATCAGTAAAGAGTAACTTACTGATGGACGTCAGGATGGGTTTCTTCCTACCTTTCTCAAGTGTAAGTACGTGTGGTTAAAGTTGTTGCCTCGTTGACTCTAGCTTGCAAATGTATTTAGTTGTGATTTGTTACTTGTAACCGAGTGTACTGTATCAGGTTAACTGGCTATATTCTCTTATTGCGTGCAAAGTCACGTTAAAAACGCGACGCGTGCTGCTTTGTTTATGGAGCTCCGTGGTAGAGTTCTGCATTCCCGCGGCTGTCCCCGCGCCAGATTTCTGCGGCGCAGGAATAAATTTCAGAATAAATCGCGGGAGCGGTCGGTAACGGGTTTAATTTGGGACGGGAGCGGGCTGTCTAGCAATATCACGGATATTGCTATGCGAATGAGAAAGAGAGAGTCTGCTTGGTGCTTGTGTGTGTGTGTTAGTGCGCACGCGCGCGTATGAGAGAGAGAGAGAAAGAGCGAGAGCGAGAGCGAGCTTTGTGTGCTTGGTGCTGTTGGACTGTATAGCTGGGTGATTTTTGGTTGTGTTCTCCCCCGCTCTAGCCGGATCGGGCGCGGCGGGCAGAAAAAGGAGCGGGTTCTCAGGCTAAAACCTGGCGGGTGCAGGCGGAAGCGGGAGCGTTGTCGTCCGGAGGTGTGTGTGTGGCAGCTAAAATCCACGCCTACACTATCGAGCGTGTATGAACTGTGATTACTTTTTATATTGCTGATTAGCTATTGGGCATTTCACTCTCTGACTGAAGGCAGTCGACCAATCGCGACAGACTGTCATCGGTCCAATCAGCGCAGATTAGCTTCGCGCTAAGGTGGGGTTTGGGAACAAATGAATCACTGGACGATTCATACGGGAGTCGCTGGGATAATTAGGTAAAAATAAATGCAGATTATAAGACCATGAAAGTGTTTTTTGACCTTGCATGCATATTAGACTGTTGTTGGAGACCCTTACAACCAAGATATGACCCTATTTCATGTATAATATGGGCTCTTTAAGCCTTTATTCCACATTTATGCATCATGTCATATGCTCTTACCATCATTTTTCTGAAGTGAAAGGATGCCAATATACTTTTAGAAGTCATCTTTTTTGCAGAGGTTGGTATTAATTTCTGCCTATGATTTATAAAAATTAAGAACGCATAAATACAGCTCTAAATACATCTCTGTCAGACCCTTTTGTCAAGAATAATTATAATTTAGTCTATATTGGCTAGGAAAAGGGCAGAATGTTGGGTCAGTGGGTAGCACAATTGGCTCACAGCAACAAGGTTGCTGGTTCGAGTCCCGACTGGGTCAGTTGGCGTTTCTGTGTGGAGTTTGCATGGTGTTCGAGTGGGTTTCCTCTGGCTGTTCCGGTTTTCCCCACAAGTCCAAAGACATGAATTGGGTAAGCTAAAAGTGTGTGTGGATGGGAGCGTGTGGGTGTTTCCCAGTGATGGGTTGCTGCAAGAAGGGCATCTGCTGCATAAAAAACATATTCTGGATAAGTTGGAGGTTCATTGCGCTGTGGCGACCCCAGATTAATAAAGGTACTAAGCTGAAAAGAAAATGAATTAATAAACAATTATATAAATTACTAATGATCATATGATTAAATAGAAAAAAATAAAAATAATGAAGAATAAATTAATACAAACAAATAAAATAAAACACAACACAAACAAATGGTTGATTTTTTTAAACAACACACAAATAAGTTTGCTACAGGATTCTTAGATCCTTAGTAGATTCTTTAACATTATAAAAGGTACAAAAAAATTGGTATGGTGCGGTTTGCTTTTGGTACTTTTTGACATTGGAAACAGCTATAAAAGTGTACTGAACTGTACCATACCGTACCACTCAGTGGAAACAGGCCATATAGGGCTACTTTAACACAATTAGGCTTATTGCAGCATATCCAGTATTCCTCATCACAACCCACAACAAATTTTATTTGTATTTACACACAAACGTTTGTATTTACACACAAACACATGTAATTTTTCTATTTCATCAAAGCCTTCTATTATAAGATAAAATGTATAGAGTTACAATAATCTGTGCATTAACTATACATTTGACATTGCAAGGCTAAGAAACACAAAGAGATGTAACTGCTTGTGACCGTTTGCATGACAGACTTAGTAAAAATGCGTTCACACTTTTCATCGGTGAATATGAGCAGTCTTTAACAATAACAGCCTCAATCAATAGACCTAAGTGCAATTCAGGTTTGCGTAAAAGCCACCAACTAATTCGCCATGTGAGTGCTATATTCATGTTCAGCACATTTTGAAAGACTCTAGTGGAACTGCAAGGTTTGAAAGCTTTTCTCAAGTTTTAAGTGTTTTGTCTGACCCTCATAACTGGCTTCCACTTTCAGGTTGGTCTCCGTGCCACCAAGCTGATGTGATTCTGAGATGTAAACACACCACACAAAAAGCATTGCAGGATCACACCGTAACTTAACTAGCACTTCTACAATATTCTCAGTTCTCTACAGAACATGCCATTAAGGCCAAACCTGTCAGGATGGTTCCCTGCCGGCATTAACTCATAGGGGAGATTCCTGATGGATGAAGGTGATGTATGCTCTGCAGGAGTCCGCTGGGAACATCTTCATTCCCTCTTTCTTCTACTCGCTTGCCGTCTCTCCTGGGAATAGTGCGGTAAGGGTAACATCCTCGGCTGCTTCCAGCGCATTAGCTCTGATCAAACGGCTGCATGCGTCTCCCGTGCCCCTCTCAGCTCCTGCTCCCATATAACAGAATATGTGCATTAGTGCTTGTGCATTATGAATGGGAGTAGACCTATGTTTTCAAACATTGCTACCGAGGCAGAGCATTAGGTTTAAAAACTAATACACATGATCATTTATCCATTAAGGTTTATATAATATATATAATGGCTAAGCAGGGAGCGGGAAATAGAAAACTTAAAATGGGGCTGAAATAAATGGCAGTGAAAAAATGGGGGCAAAAAGGTAATGTGAGTGGCCTAATTTTGTTTTAAAAAGATATTATTTAGTCACATGTACACAGGCATCCAATAATATGTTTTGTTTACCTTTAAATAATGTACGTGAATAATGTAATAGCTGGTTGACCCTAGCAATAACCTCCACCAAATATTTCTGTGAATCCGACATGCCCAAGAGTAAGAAAAATTCTTTTTTACAAAACCACTTTTAATCATCACTCTCGGGATGTCCAAAGCGAATTCCTTTTTTTGAGGTCATGGCAAAGCATTTCAGTCGGGTTGAGGTCAAGACTCTGAGTAGGTCAGTCAGCAGCAACTGAATTTCCTCTGTTAAAGCTGTTCTGTTGTTGAAATATTAATGCACTTTGGGTCGCTGTCTTGTTGGATAACCCAACATCTGTTGAGCTTCAATTAGCAGCCTCAACTAATTTATCTCTGATAAACTTGGAAGTTACATTTTCTGTCACTGATAGCTCTGAGGCAGCAGTTCCAAACCAAAATGAGCTTTTGATGTTAGTCTACTGTGGCTGCTCCCCTCCACAGAACACATTTTTGGTTTTAGTCCACCGAATATTTTTCCAATAGGCTCATCCAAAGACTCTTTTGTGATCTTCAAACATTCAGCATTTTTCTTTTTTATTTTGCTTGTTAGTTTGTTTAGGACTCTGGCTTCTTCTATGGCGTCCTCCCATGAGCACTGTTCTTGTGTAGTGTTTTATGAACCATTGACAAGTCAACAGAGATGTTCCAGTGTGGGACTCATATCCTTTTTTCACCATGCACTTTGAATGTTTACACAATGTGCTTATTAAAGACAAGAAAACAGGTAATGGTCTTTGTGTTTTTTAAGCAGACCTTGTTTTTCTGTTGTTGTTACTGCTTAGCCTAATCTGAACAAGCAGTATGATAGAAAATACCAAAAGGCATCAGTTCAGAAACTATTTTTTAAGAGAATACCCTTCAGAAGTTTGGTTGTTAATATTTTTTATTTTAAATTTGTAATTTATTTCTGTGATTACAAAGCTAAATTCCAAAGCTAAAGTCTTTACTGTCACATCATAATTTGGTGCTTGAAAATATTTGTAATTTTAACAATGTCAACAATGGACTTTTTGATCACCAAAAAAGAAACAATAATTTTAAATAGGAATCTTAACATCCTTAACTCTTGTGCACAGCTCAAATTTACTACCTTTTTGTTATGTTTGGGATGAAAACACCCACTAAATTAAACAGCAGTAAAAATGCATCAGATAAACTTTTTTTTTTTTTTTTTTGATATAAGACTGTTAATCAACCTCAGTATTGATCAAAACTACTAAATTGTTTAGAAAATTACAGGATTTTAACTCTTTAACTGCAAAATCCATAAAAGATGTCACTGATTTGGTAAAAAAGACGTATTTTTAACATAAAAGTAATTGTGGACTGGATATTTTTAAACCTTTTATCAAGTCTTCATCATGTGAAACATCAGTAACAACATTGGCTTTGATGCATTGTTAGATTTTATTTTTTCTCCCTAATTTACTGTTGGTGGCTGTTCTTGTCCCATTGACTTCCATTATAGCCACATTTGATGTTGCACAAATACACAGTATTTGTTTTTTTTTTACTCCATGTAGTTCTGAGAGCTGAGATGAATAATTAGATTCATTAATTCATTCAGACACATCAAGGTTAGTGCATAAAGGTCACTCTCAGACACTAACAGACACACATACACACTATTTGCTGTTATACACCATATAAAATCGAGAAATAAGCTTTTTTTTTTTTTTGCACATGCCTATCTAAAGGGTTAATGGTGCCAATTGATTATCAACAGTAAAATTTGATCTCTTTCTAACAGGAAAAACCTCCAACAATCAAAAATGCATGATTATATGCTGGCATGGTTTTGTTATCAAATAACAATGTTATAATGGAAGCCAATAGGGCCAAAACAGCCGGCAATAGTAAATTAGAAAAAAATAATCAAAAAGAATGCATCAACGGCTAAGTTGTGTCACATGTCCAAGACTTTGATAAAAGGTAAAAAAAATAAAATAAAAAAACAGTCCACAGTTACTTTTTATGAAGTTTAATATTAATCTATTTTCTAGAGGATGCACATGCTCATGCTCATTGACCCAGCTGGCCCACATTAGCTAATCACGATCCTCCAGTCAAAGGAACCCAAGTCACTATTTAAATTAGGGGTCACCAAACTTGTTCCTGAAGGGCCGGTGTCCTACCGGCTCCAACCCTTATCAAACACACCTGAACAAGCTAATCAAGCTCTTACTAGGTATACTTGAAACATCCAGGCAGGTGTGTTGAAGCATATTGGAGCTAAACCCTACATGGACACTGGCCCTCCAGGACCGAGGTTACTGACCCCTGATTTATATCCTCATTTCCTCTCTACAACTATCTTCGTCTGAACACCCCCCTCCTCCCCTTCTTTCACCTTTATCCAGAATGGGCGGCACGGTGGGCCAGTGACTAGCACTGTTGCCTGACAGCAAGAATACCAATGGTGTTGGGTCCTCGCTGGGCCATCTGGTATTTCTGTGCGGAGTTTACATGTTCTCCCCGTGTCCGCGTAGGTTTCCCCTGGGTTTCCCGTTTGTCTCCCACCGTCCAAATATGCTCTATATTATATATAAAACAGGCCTAAATAATTTTTTTCTAATGTCTTGCTCTCAGGAAGTTCACCTTAGCCTTTTGAGGGGAGTGTTTGAAGGGAGGTGGTGGGGAGTTTTGAGGGGAGGTGGTGGGTCCCTTGAGCTGAGGGCTCTCTCATGGAACAGCATGCCAAACAAGCTATTTATAAATCACGAGCTAAGTGTGAATTGTTGAAATATTGAAAGTACGTAATTTGGTGTGTTTTTTTCACCAAATTAGTGACATCATTTATGAATTTCGCAATTAAAGAGTTAAAATCCTGTAATTCACCAAACAATTTAGCAGTGATTAGGACTGAAGTTGATTAACAGATTTTATGAAAAAAAATTAAATAGATTTTCTTTTTATTTTGATGTAATTTTACAGCAATTTAATTAAGTGAATGTTTTCATCCCAAACATAACAAAAGGATAGTAAATTTGCCCAGAGTGTATTGTTGAGGCTTTTTTTATTATTATTATTTTTCATAGTTTGTGTCAAAATAAGATTTATTACCAAAAATCATTCTGCTAGTTGAAACACAGAAAAAGTTACAGTCAAATTAAGACACAAAATCACCCCAGAGGGGATGAAAACATCCTCAACAGTACATAAGGGGTAACATTTTTATTTGCAATAGCACATTTTATTTGGCAAATATTTTATCTTTATTCAAGTAATCTTTATCTTTATTCAAGTAAAAAATATAAATCAATTGATACTCAAACAATTAAAGTTGTCTAAAGTAAATAGAACTTTACACTGATGTGCAAGTGGATTTTTTGTCATATATATATATTTTTTTTTAACATGAATTAAGATTATAGTTGCTGCTATTTATGAAACCTAGTGCATTATCCAATTTATTTAACTCTAAACACTTGGTACAGAAAGTGTTGCAAAACTACAATATTAGATAAAAGAACGCTCTGATAGAAATGCTTCTTCAGTTTTTGTAATACATAGGATTACACTCAAATAAGTTTGTAAATAACATAGGAAGTAGCTTAAGGTGTGTGTGTGTGTGTGTGTGTGTGTGTGTGTGTGTGTGTGTGTGTGTGTGTGTGTGTGTGTGTGTGTGTGTGTGTGTGTGTGCGTGTGTGTGTTTTAATTTGCATGACACAATGAGACAATATATCTTTTAAAATACTTAAAATCTCAATAAAGTTTACTTTGCTAAACTGCAGAGTTAAATGTTTAACATCAAAAGGTGTCTGTGTACAAATAAAGGTCCCATAATACACTGAATTACAATCTATGAACAGTTTATTAAAATACATGAAGACACACAACTGTTAATTAAAAGACGTGTTTTACATTGCATAATTTCAAGCTCATATCTTAATTAAACAGGCTATGTTTTATTAGAAAGATACATAACCTTGACTCACAGATAGGCTAAGAAGACGGGAAAAAGCATTTCTGAGTTCAGTGCGTGTCATTAATATTTATTGAAAGGCAGCAAGTCCAAAAGTATAGACACCAGCAAAAAAGTTGATCAAAGTACAAGCTGTTTATTAGGGTGGTAATGTAATTAGTCCTGGGTGAATATAGTCTCCTGTACATTACCTTAACCTGCTCTGGACAGGTGGCAAAGTCAGTGTCCAGGAGCAGGGTCCTGCCAACACTTCCTCATAAATAATGCTTCCCCTGCTCCTCTGCTGATCAAACACTCTGAGTCACAGTGGGGGTAAAAGATGGGGATGTACTTTCAGCGTTTGTGAGTTTCAGCTCTGCAGGAAGAACTTCGGAGATGCTGAATAAACATAAATGAAGCTTTGCTGCTGAAACCATGCAATTCTGCTGAGACCTGAGTATAATTTTATCATCAAGTATAATTTTTTTTAACATATCCCTTACGAACCGCATAAATACCACAACGGTAGGTCTTTATGTAACTTTAATAGGTCGTTTTAAGCTCGTTTTGTGCAACAGAATCAGAGAAACGAGAGTAAATGTGAGATAAAATATACTCAGGATAAAACACAGACTGGATTTGAGCCAAAATCCCCACTTGAGCACTACAACACAATGTGTCTGCATTGTGTGTCAGTACACTTACTGTAACCCTGTAGTAATGTTTGATGCATTGTTCGTCAAGAAAAGATTTGAATCCAACTTCA